TGGTGAGTGAAGTATATTTACATTTCCCTTTTGTTTTTACTTCTTGTTTCATATAGCAATTGTAGCAATTTGATCACTCAGGATTTGCAGCTCTCTGCCGCAGGCAGACTGTTTGTCGTCGAGTGAATAATGCGCATGCGCGGTTTTTCTTCGGGAAACATTCTAACTACGCATGCTTATGCAGCAGGTTCTCGGTCAGAAAGCGTAACGGTCGTACATACACACAAGCAGAATAATAATACAGATTATTATTGAGATGTCTCTGTTCTTATACTATATAGACTTCGGCTGTTACTTAAAATTTAACTGTACAAGTTACTTCCTCTCGCTTAGCCCCATAGTGGCACAGAGGTATGTCTGCAGACTTACGACGCTAGAAACCGGGTTTAGATACCCGTGGTGGGCAGAGCACAGATAGCCCATTGTGTAGCGTTGTACTTAACTACAAACAAACAAACTACCCTCTCGCCCGCTCCACTTGTGCTGTAAAGTGACAGACTGGTTCTTTTTAGACAATTCTTATAGAATGTTTAGAATATGTTTTTCTTATCTTTAACTTGATTATATTTTAATTGCACAGTTAATATTCTTGCTATTTATTGTACGATTCAGTTATTCATTTAATCCGTCGTTTATTGTATCATCGTAAGCATTAGGTTTTTGTTCTACAGTCTGTACTCGAATCTATAGCTAAACACGTGTCATAGTAATCTATCTATGTGTCAGGCTATTTTACAAGTTACACCGTTGGAGCCGTTTAATGGCTTGGCATTGGACATAAGAGGTTGTTAGGGGTGATTATGTAAATTTCAGTTCTTCAACGAACATTAAGTCAACGACAGTATTTATAGCTAGCAAGTAGTTTGTGTGTAGCTTAAGTAAGGTATTTAATGATAATTTCATTTACAATATTGGTTACATTGCATATAACACATATTGTTACAATTTCGTTTTATTACTATATAATTCTTACAGAGATTATTTTACATTGATAGTTTAGCATATAAATTTAGGACTAAATTAAATCTCCTGAGAAGGACATTATTGGGATTAAGGCCGAAAATATTGCTAACAACAAAAATACATAACTGACGAAACAATGAATTCTAATATTTATAAGTTCACTATGCTTAATTAACTATACCTAATATTGGGTTATTTTGAGTTTTGATCAGATTGGAAGTTAATAATGATTTAACAAAAATGTTACTAGGACATTTAATAAACATTTTAACTTAAACATTCCATAAAATTTATTCGTGCGTGACGACAAGTTAAAAAATAATGGATTTTTCTGGGCGTACGAATAAATGCATAAAAAGTCGTCATTATTCATATTATCTTACGGTAACTTTTGGAAATATTCACGAATACAAACAGTCACCTTTGGCTGTTTATTTAGCTACTTCTTGATATTAACGTAAAAACAAATATTAAAAAGAATCATGCCGCAAGCATAAATTACAGTTTTCCTCTGTATTGTAGCTGGAATAGTTAGACGTTCAAGTGTGATGAATATGAATTATTAGTAATCATTAAAGCTTTAAAATAGCTGAAAGCATGAAAAGATAAAAAAAATAGATAGACAGACAAACAGACAGACAGAGGGTTAGATATATAAACATTCCCTTGTTATCGTGTATAAGCTACACAACACCGTGAGTATACATCTACACAAAATACAAATCGTTTTACGATAATCAGAGAAAACACGCTGATATCAGTGGTTTATTGGAGCCGGAGCGTTCCGGAACGCTGCTCTAGTACTTTTTTTGGTTGTGGTTTAAATCAGTATTTGTAAAATCAACTCAAACTGTAGATACAGTATTAAACTTACATGTTTAAAATGTTGTGTTCGGAAATAATGAGCTCAAATAAAAATATACACAATATGTCTTTCGTGATGTTGAGATTATATAGAAGGTATACATAACAACTGTATATTTATAACTCAGATAAACTAGTTGGATATGAAAAATTAATTGACAAGTGAATGGTAATTATAAAGAAATTAAATGCCTGAAATACAGCCTATATATATGCACATATATAGTTTGGTTGTCGCTATGCAACAAACAATAACCATTAAATAACATAACAAAACAACACCTTCCAAAGCTTTTTGGCTTGGAAAATCTTCCTGTAACCTCCTTCTCTGTAGACCCAATCCCACGCAGGATCAACAACTTGCTGATTGGGATCCACTAATCTGTATCCTGTTATGTTAGTCCTTCCTCGTTGAAATTCCTTCAGATCGATGGTGTGTAAGTCCTATTAATAAAACAAACTAAAAACTAATACAGCTCCAATCTAGGTAAAACAATTCTGTTTCCAACCAATTATTTGTAGAACGTAGCAGTAATAATGAGAATATGTATCTATGAAACCGCATCTAGTCAAATAATGAAGGGATATAAGACTTGGTTTCTTTCTTAATGAGCAATTAAGATGTAAATGGAGTAAGCCTTATGATTTGGACATTAATATGTGTATAATTTAAAAAATAACACCAATAAATTATATAAACTGTAAAGAAAGAAAATATTCACTTAGATGTTTACTGTTCACATTCTCTAAATACTCCACAGACATTCTGTGAACTTTGACCGGAAAGAAAAATAACATCAGAAAGTATAAGAATTTCGTAATTATTACATTTTCATTTTCTTAAATTCATTATGTTATGAGAATAAAATAAAATAGTTAAGATCTCTTAAAATTTACTAATCGTCTAAAAACGCCATCGTCTGTCTTCCGGTATCTTGAGGTTTTATAAATCAATATTCATGAAATCAGCTATTCCTAATCTTGTTTTTGTCAACTCAGTTTATAGAGCTGAATTATAAATTCATAACGAATGATTTGAAAAACGCTTCATAACAAAAGATACGGAAATTAATTTATCATTTTAAAACAATAGTTCTGAGTTTCAGCTTTCAGTAATAAACCAGTTTGTTTGTAGTTAAATACGAGTTAGTAAACTAATACGTTCGGTACTAGTACCACTAAACTAATTATGTTCGGTAGTAGTACCACTAAACTAATTATGTTCGGTACTAGTACTACTAGACTAATTATGTTCAGTACTAGAAACACTAAACTAATTATGTTCGGTAGTAGTACCACTAGACTAATTATGTTCGCTATTAGTAGTACCGAACATAATTAGTTTAGTGTTTCTAGTACTGAACATAATTAGCCTAGTTGTAGGTACCACAAGACTAATAATGTTCGGTACTAGTACAACTAAACTAATAATGTTCGTTACTGTTATCATTAGATTAATCATGTTCGCTACTAGTACCACTAGACTAACAATATTCGGTACCAGTACCACTACACTAATTATGTTCGCTACTAGTACCACTAGAATAACAATGTTCGCTACTAGTACCACTAGACTAATAATGTTCGCTAGTAATACCACTAGACTAATAATGTTCGGTACTAGTACCACTAAACTAATAATTCTCGGTACTAGTACCACTAGGCTAATTATGTTCAGTACTAGTAACACTAAACTAATTATGTTCAGTACTATGACCACTAGACTAACAATGTTCGGTACTAGTACCACTAGATTAATTATGTTCATCACTATTCCCACTAGACTAATTACATAGGCCTGTGAATTTAAACTTCATTAAATTATTTTTTGTTTTAATAACGGTATTTTGCATAATTAAGCTACACAAATTTCGAAAACAGTTTGTTTGTTTGTTTTTGGAATTTCGCGCAAAGCTACACGAGGGCTATCTGCGCTAG